CTCATGAGAGAGCCGTTGTTGGTCGCTGAGGGAGGCCATTTTAGCAGGGTCGATTCACTAATAAAGAATAAGCAAACGGAACAAAGAAGTACGATTTCTTCCAAACCAGTGGGTCACGTGGGCTCGTACGGACAAGCCTTATGTGAAAGTAATACCTTTCAATCACCTCAGCAGTAGAGTACACGGTGTTCACATAGAACAGATCAGTCGATAATAAGTAAGCTATTCTCTCATTTCTGAACGAGAAGATCTTTGCCAAAGGCACTGTAAGGTTTCCAAATGAGTTTTGGTACAATGACACAGAAGAACCCATCTGAAATATTTCTAAAATTAGCTTTGGGGAGCGGGGGTATTCTTTTTTCGAACTAAGAATTTCTTTTAACAAGCAATTGGTTACTGAAAAAGTTTTTGCATTTCAAAGCATAAAATCATGCATGTTCTTTTTGAATACTCCATCTTGTTATTCCACCTCAAACCCGTATTCCCGATTGGTGAACCCTCGTGCTTATTTTAATGCAGTTACAAAACAAATAACCTAGTGCTTTGAGCTGCTGTTTTCGGCTTCACAAATACTTCTCCTTTGAGAAAGTTGTAGTTTCAATCACTGAGGTATTGTCATCAGCTTCTGTTTCTTTTAGCTGTACTAGCTTTTCACTTGGGTGCTCGCAGAAGTAATGCAGCCTGTAACGACTTCAGCGAAATTTGATTGACTCTATGTGAGTGGAGTGAGAGGTTACAGTCAAAATTTAAGAGAACTACGACAAAGACTGTTTTACCTGTACATACAATACCCACCCTAATTGTTCGAAAAAAAAACGGAAAAAACGCCAATTTGCGTTTTTTTCGTTTTTTCTCTATAACTCGATTTCTGTTGACTCTACTTATAGAGTGCCCTACCATGCTCTATAAGATGCTACTTTCAAAACCTGAGAAACTTCAATTTTGATGACCTCATCCCACCAAAATACCTGAGGCGACTCGTTAGCGAGTCTCGCGGTAATTATAACCAGAGGGTATTCACTGGAATTCGAAAGATTCAACGGTCCAATGTGTTCCTTCCACAGATTAGAAAGTATTGAAATACACATAGCTGTGCTATTCAGACGGTGCGCATTCTTTTAGTACCGATTTCCTGAAAAATGGAAGAGTTTCTATGAATGCCTTTTTGAAGAGGGTCGCTTGTTCAAATCAGAAAATTGCAAGCATGGTTTGGATATTGATCACAGAACCACAACACCTCTATTGTATGAAAGCGGCTCTTCACTAATATTCACAAATTTCGAGTGTATATCAGGAAAGGAGCGTTTTTCATTCATTCGAAATCAGCATATCGTGTGATAAAGTAAAGGATAAAGTCTTCGCCGTTAATCAATCCCTTTGTGGGATGCGGCACGCATTCTACTTCCATTCAGAATCGTAGTGGCTTATTGAATGCGATGTGGCCTATACAATGACTTGCGGGGGCCAGCCGATGTACAAGTCAGTGTTTTATCCTCCCAGACGAATCTGGTGGTGGGTACCAAATTTACGTGTTGTGTGTGGTGGTGTGTGACGTCCGGAGGGTACAAGGCCTTTTTTGGCCTGGCGGATGTGTGCGCGTGTGCTGCGGTGGGGATTCGAACCCGACCGCGCGAGGTGGCTATCTTTCTTTGTTTCGCGGCATGTCACCTACACCACCTCGCCTCCATATCGTGTCGAATGCTCAGATAAAACACATATCTCTCTCGTTTTTTATAGGAGATCTTTATGGAGAAATCAGCCGTGATAGCAACCACCCACAAGAAGGAAACCTTACATGTCAGAAACTCCTGGTGCCTGTTCTAAAGAATTTCACGGACTCCGCGCTCTTTCAGAGAGCTCGTTTTTAGCGGCTGTCAAAGTCGGGACCTCGCTTGGAGGCAAAATTAGCATTTTTTTTGTAAATGAAAGGCGTCATTGGAGCAATATAGTACTGTTGAATTCCTCCGTGAAAAGTTGCCTATTTAATGAATATGGAAACTTTTCACGGTTTCATGCTTAACTTTGTGACATTCGGTACCGTCTTATTCCGCGCTCGATCCGAGCAGGTCGACTTCCGTATTTTAAACCGGCTTCGCCGAGATGGCTCGGTGACAGTGTTATCCGATCGACTCCCAAAGCAGCCGTATCGACGAACGCTGCTGCGAATTTATCGGCGTAGGCAGACGTCAGACTTGTAGCGCCTCAGCCGGCGCGCTACAGGCGTTGTCGCGCTACTAACGTCAGCGCTACAGCGTCGCGCATACTCAGTCTTGCTACCGTAACTCCAGCTTTTATCGTTTTTCTTTATGTATTTGCAACCCTCTGTTCTCTTTTCTTTCTCATATATATCTGATAGTGAGCTCCTGTTATACAGAAGACTGTGATAATTGGTTTTATTTATCGTTTTTGACTTTCAATTATTTGGTTTCAGAGTTGCTATTGATATTTGATGGCTTTGCTTGATGTCTTGCAGATTGCGAAATTGTTTTCATGTATCAAAAACTACATTAAAATGTGATAAAGTAGAAAACAGGAGCTCACTATCAGATAAATATGAGAAACAAAGAGAAGAGGGTTGAATACAGAAAGAAAAAACATAAAAGCTGGAGTTCGGTACAACTGTAGCGCGACGCTGTAGCGCTACAAGTCTGAACGCTGCCTAATTGAATGGGTATGGAGTCTGTATGCATTATTGAAATTGTGACAGCGAATAATGAAGGTGACTATGCATTGAAATTTCCTTGAGCTGATTCTCTGGTCTATGGATTTCTACATTATCCGCCAATAATATCCACTGCTACTCCAGCTGGGTTCCTGCCAGCGCCTTCAACTACTCGGAGGCATTGACCGCCAGCCTTAGCGGCTCCCGCAGTAATTACCGGAGGAGCTTCGTCGAACGTCGGCGAAACCCTTGCAGTACCCGAAACCGTGACCGCGAATGTTTTACAATTTATTTGAATCCTACAGTAACAAAGAAACACTATAACAGCTTCAACATCATATGAAGATGAAAACTCATCCTAAAATAAAACAAATGCAAATATCCATCACTGCATTTCAAAAAACTGTTCTGAAGGAGAGTGTCACTGTATTCGTACACCTCTTCCCTTCGCGGAGGTGTAACCAATAGTCTGTCCGGGAAGGGCGAGAGGCGTCGGTGGTTTGTTGGCGGTACCATACCTGAGCATTATAGGCTTTTTTATTGCAACGGACTTTAGAGATACTGTCGACGACGTGGTTGCCGGGCACAGCTGTCAGCGCCACAATGTCAGCAGTCTTCGAGGAAGTGAAGAACACAAT